CTCTCTCTCTCTCTCTCTCTCTCTCTCTCTCTCTCTCTCCCCCCTGCAGTTCTGTCAGAACACTAAGGCTCTTCCAGAGTCAAAATGAAAATCTATTAAATAATTAATTTTTTTCATTTTCATTCAAATAACATTTCCTCTGTTTCTGTCAGTAGCTTGGGAATAATGGCATTCATTCTCATCACAGATAGATAAGGCATGACTTAATAGTATGTGTTTCAAGCTTAATTTTTCTTTCTAATAGATGATTTTTGACTTCTTTAAAAATAAATACATTCTCATGACTCTACTTTGGGCATATCTTCTTGTTGAAGTGTTTGCTGGCACATGCAGATGCTCGTGGTCTACTGTGAACGTGCTTTGTGGCTCTACAGCATAAGCAAGCAAATCAAATTGAAAGTAAAAAAGAAATAGATAACAGACATCAAAGAGCAACTGAGAGAACTTGGTCCCCACTCAGCCTCGCCATTTCTTTGAGCTGGCACACCATGGCCCCATGGAGCCATTTTGCATGAGTGAGAATCATGAGTCAACTTTGATGTCAAGGGTTCTGTGTCTGATTGAAATGAAGATGAAAGTTGAATTTGCACTATAGAGAGACTCCATAAACTTTTTCTTCCCATAACTCTGTAATTTTTAAGTTGTACATTAAGTGCTACTTCTGTATAAGATCCTGTACAAGGGACTAGAGAGATAGCTCAAGGGTTAAGAGCACTGGCTGTTCTTCCAGAGGTCCTGAGTTAATTCCCAGCAATCACATGGAGGCTCACAACTATCTGTAATGAGATCTGGTGCCCTCTTCCGGCTTGTGGGGATACATGCAGGCAGAATACTAAATACATAATAAACAAATAAATCTTAAAAAAATAAAAAAGACCCTGTACAAAGTTTGAATGACATAGAGATAATAGAGATAAAGAAGACCAACATGTTTCCCTCCTCTGAGACAGAATGTCAGTCAGGATCCTCAGAAAAGAAAAAGACAACAGGAGATATGGTTAGATTGAAAATGGATGGATGGATGGATGGATGGATGGATGGATGGATGGATGGATGGATGGATGGATGGATGGGTGGATGATGAATAAGTGGACAAAAGAAAAATATTCACGAATATTCATATATTTTGAAACAGACTGATTCCGATTGAAAATTACTTCAAAACTGACTTGGCTTAGGTGATTTATGACATCCATCAAGACTGCTATCAATGAGTCCAGGTGTCAGGCTGGGAACTGTTCATCACAAATTTATATTCTCTCTTCCTCAGATAAACCTGAAATTTGCCCTTAAAACCTTTCAAGTGATTAAATGCTGCCCACTTGGGTCACCGAGCCATTTCTTTTTCTTAAAAATCAATGAGTTGTGGATAGATATTAACCATCAGTACAAATTACCTTTATAGCAACACCTAGAGATTGATTATACAAATGGGTGGTACAGTCTACCCAGGTAGGCAGATAAAATAACCATCACAGAGAGATTATAGTTTGTTAAGGGAGATAAACATCGAAGAGATAATTTTCAATATTATGGAAATCACATTATAGCCTCAGGAATTTAGGTGAACTGGGCCAGCTTAGGTCCCAAAGGACTTACCTGCAGAACCCACATGCATGCAGAGACCAGGAGATGAACAAGATTTTCCAGGATGAGAGAGGAACTACATTTCATGCCCTGTGTGCTTGCTTAAACAAAATCCTTGAATTGATAAGGAAATAGTCACATTTGAGAAGCAGAGAAAGGATCAGGGCATCTGGAACCTAAGAAGCTTTGGAGTCAAGTGTCCTTTGTGCACAAAGTAGACTTAAGGAACATAAACAGGACCTTCGTCATTTTTTTCCATCTGGGTAACTAGCCTATATCTGTTGTTAGGGTTTTTAATTCCTTTTGGTTCTTTTGGGGGGCCCAATACCCAGCTCCCAAATAAAGCACACATGGAGGCTTATTATTACTTATGAATGTCTGGCCTTAGCTTGGCTTAGTTTCTAACCAGCTTTCCTTAACTTAAATTATCCAGACTACCTTTTGCTTCTGAGCTTTTCATTTTCTGTTCCTGTATACCTTTGTTTCTTATTCCATGGCTTGCTGTATAGCTGGGTGGCTGGCCCCTGGAGTCCTCCTTCTCTGGCTACTTCTAGCTCTTAGATCTCTCCTTCCAGTTTTCTCCTTCTATATATGCTTGCTGCTTGCCAGACTCGCCGATCCTTTGTCCTGCCTTGTTATTGGTCAGTTCTTTATTAAGCCATCAGGTGTTTTATACAGGCACAGTAACACAGCTTCACAGAGTTAAACAACTGCAATATAAGCAAAAGTAACACACCTAAAATAATATCCTACTACATATCTTCAATTATAGTATCTTTGGGACAGTAATTTTTTTTAATTCAATTCATCTCATGATTAAAGCCCTTACATGCTCACCTACTACATGTGAAATAAAATGATAGTTTCTTCAAGGATTTCAGAATCAGGCTCAATGTAACTGACTGAACAAGACCACTTCCTACTCTGTTCCCAGACATGCTAATGCCCTTGAACTTGCTCTTTGTTCTCCCCACAACTCCCAAAGATTTCCAATAGAAGTCTTCTCAGCTTTCAGATACTATGCAGACTTCCCACTATGCCACATGCCACTTGGGTCAGAGCAACTCAGAGCCATCCCAATTCTGTCCACCTCCACTCACTTCTCAGGAAGAGACATCGAAGCACAGACTTCAATGCATATCTTTAAATATGAATTTAATGTTTTTGGTAAATATAATTCAATGTTAACTTTATGAATTGCCACAAAGGAAGTAATAAGATACAATTAATTGTCAATGGGACCACCAGGCCATGTGATGGAATAGGAGTTCAGCACACTTACAAATTCCAGGTGACTGGAAATGTGGCTTACTGTGATAGGAATAGAGTAACAAACATTTTCTGTCTGAACTTATAGTTTTTGTAGTTTGCTTTTTACTCACTTAGCTTCTGTATCACCAGTATAGTAAAAAGGCTAGAAAAGGGCCTTGATTTAAATGATATCTAGACAGGCTATCATCAAATAATATGGATGAAATAAAATTGCTGCAAAATGTTCTTGTTATATAAAAGAAGAGCCATTACAGAATTACACACCTTTTTAGTAAAAGCAATATCTTAAAGCTATATTATGGTATAAGAATAAGGTTAATATTAATTTTAGAGATGGTGAGTGGTTCAAGTAAGAGCTATTGCTCATTATTTGAAGAGTAGACAAAGATGTTTAAGAACAAAAAAAATTATGATAACTGAGAAATACAAAAGCACATAGTATGTACTAAAAACTGTTCTTATTGCTACTGCCATAAAATTTGTAAAACATGAACATAACATCTCTATCAATGTTGACAGAGTGTAGACAATCAATTAATGACACACTAGCCTATGTTGGGAAAGCAATTGCTGTGTTGCAGGCACTAGCATCCTGAAGCTAAGTAATGATTTTCAGTTTCCATATAAAAGTATTTCAGAAGCTTGCAGACTCCATCACTCTGGGCAACAGCTCTGGCGTGCATTTCTTGATGTAGTTGCATCCCCTTAGAGAAGTCAATGCCGAAGACTGATGTGAAGGCCAAGCAAAGAGTTGTCCAGCCAACAATGATGTTATCTACTAGGTTTAGAAGGAAACTAATTCTTCCTGTATCCCAGAGATACTTGGGCTTGTCTAATGGATGTCCTGGAGGCTGCTGTAATGAATAGCAGGGCCCTTTCAAGGCATTTTCCTTCTCTTGATAAAAAGCTGGATCCTCAGCTTCCTCCTTCTTATTGATTTGCTTGCCGCACTCCTCAGGAAATCTGTCTCTGAAACCAGTCTCGTTGTTATGAAAGATCTTCCCCCAAGCCTAAGTATGGCCCCCTCTTAGGGGTCAGCCAGGCCCCTCTTTTTTCTTCCATTAGAGTTAATCAATGCCTAGGCAGGGAGAAAGAAAACACAGCCTATACTTCAACAACTGCAGTTTGTTGTTTGCTGACTGCTCATGTGCATACCCTAAGTTTGGGTGCTTATTTTTTCAAAAAAAAATGTAATTTTTTTTTAGTGCAAAGCCAGGGCATCTTGCTAAATGTGGAATTCTTAGGAAGGTCAGCATCAATGAAATCAAGTGCAATTGAGTCTTTTCTTGAGAAAGACTGTTTAAGGAGCTGAAAGCAGTCAAACATGAGACACAGTTCTTGCTCTAAGGAAACACTGACTTTTAGGGATGACAGATTCTAAAATGGGAATATTTTTTATAGGTGAATAGTCAGAATAAGGAGTTATAGAGAAAAAGGTTGGGCACTTAGCTTAGACTGTGGCCTGGGAAGTGGAGAATTATATATGGCCTCCTGAGGGAATGATAACTCTAACACAGGATATAGAAACCCTTGTCAGCAGCAACATCTGGAAATGAGATTAAGATGTGGAGCTAAGCATAGAACAAGGGACCATGTCTGAGTTACTGTGTCACTTGCAGAAAGTATAAGCCTACGCTATGTTCACTTAGATAAGAGGGAATTTCTTAGTGGTTTTCTATCTCTGTTTTGGTTTTGAGAACATCAAGATAAAAAGTGAGGACTTGTAAAAAGACAGGATATGGAAGGTTACAATGTCAGAGATGGTTGAATCACCCCTTAGCAACATCCAGTGTTTAGGGGCACAAGATGAGGAGACTCAATTGCATATATCAGCAGAATTACTAAAGCCTGAAACAAAACTGTTTCTAAGACATAAAGTATCAGGGACCATGCTCAGGTGCTATCTAAGCTTTGAGCACTTACACAGAGGCTCTGTAAAATGTGGTGTGTATCTGATTCACATGATACACAGACAGAGAAGAACTGGTACAAGACTTTAGTTAAAAACTTTACTAGCAAAAAAGTCTTGCTGAATGAAGTTTTCTTCCTTGTTTTCTTTTAAAGACTATGTGTATGTGTGCGTGCATTCGTGTATACAAATATTAGCATATACAATATATATGTATATCAATTACTAGATTGTTCATTTTCATATCTAGTAGATAATTTCAATACAAAATTGTTTAGAAAAGTTAAGCAGTATAGATAGGATTTCATTGAAGGCCTAGAGACACCCACCTAGTGGCTCTTGGTTCCTAAGCAGCCTTGGGACCATCTAGTGGTCATTACCCCAGTGTGCAGAAGTGACATCACAGGAATGTTTTCTCAACTGGGAATATATGTCAATGTCAAGACAGCAAATGGCAGTGAAATCTTCAGTCAGAGCAAAGAAAAATTCATTAATAGTAAAAGAATTCCACAGATATCCATATTTATATCCATATAAAGACATAAATATAAACAGACATACTATGTTTTATATGGATCTTGGTAATATCAGCTTCATTATTTTCTAAAATTGTTACCAAAGAAATTATATTATTCAGGCTAAACCTTTCTCCTTAAAATTTGACACATCTTTCCTGAGGGAACAGCACAATAGGAACTCTATACTCATGCCATATGTATTTGCAGAGCCAACCAAACACAGATCAAAACATTTGAAAGAAAACATTGCATCCATTCAGACATTACTTGACATAAATGATACTGTCCCAACACTGTTTAGATAGCATTTTTCTTATATTAAGTGGTATAAGAAATACAGGGGTAGTTTGTATGCCTGTTACTTTCAAATACTATATTATTTCACTTAGAGGAAATGATTTCATTTGTGGATTTTTAAGCCCTTAAGTAGTTCTAGAAACTATCACCATTAGTGATGCATGGCTGACTCTAATTGACTAGTCATGGATCAATATTCTCAAAGTGTCCCTCAATTTTTTTCATGTTTGTGTTTTAACTAATTGCAAAGGGATTCTAGGTGATTTCATTGAGCTGCTTCTTCTCTGAAAGAGAAAAAGTAATCAGTTTGGATCTTTTTCATTGTTGATACTTTTGTTTGTTTCAGTATTCCATGGAGATATAAAAATACCATTACATTTGAGCTGTAAAAATGCCAGTAATGGGGAAAAAACTAGCATGTAGCTATATGTTTACAATAGATCTGCTGTTGACACTGTTAACCGCTCCACCCCATCAGTCCTCTAGTCTTTCTGTGAAAAATAAAGGAAATTGGATTTGTCATATAATTAAAATTTAATTGACTAAAAATGTTGAGATTTAACTGGAGAGTGCTTTAATGTCTTCTTTCAGTTTATTAGCTATATATCTTTGCCTGGTTTTCCTTCTTTTCCCACATCCATGCTTGTGATGCTTACTAACAGTTTGGTATTCAACATTTGAATAAAACATAATTTGAGCAGGAATTCCTATTTGCATTCAATATTCATTCATGGGATCTGTTTTTCATTATTTTGATATTCCCTTCATGTGCAGTGTGGATAGTGTAGCATGAAATCTGCAACTATAAATATGCATGATGAACACTATTTGAAACTCAATCGGTTATTACTGTGGAATCTGCATATGATAATCTGACCATCCAAGGTTTATGATTGGCTTTAACGTGTATAGAGAGTACAGTTCTAAAAGTACAGTTCCACATGTTGGAAACATATCTTCACACTCCTTCCTACCAGTTTTTCTGTAGAAAGAATTTTGTAGTTGAGAGGGTGGCTGCAATCCAAGGGAACAATCTCATTACAAAGTCTTACCTATTCAGATTACCACCACCATTCTATGCAATTAAAGCTCAGAACAGGTCTTTGAGTTCTATCCCATTGATTAAAATACCCTCAATTAAATATAGAATACTTAAAATGATCTTTCTTAAAGTACCTACTTTAATAACTTCATTGATAGACTAAAACTTTTTAGGAATGTTAAAAACATTGGATTCTGCCGGGCGTTGGTGGTGCACGCCTTTAATCCCAGCACTCGGGAGGCAGAGGCAGGCGGTTCTCTGTGAGTTCGAGGCCAGCCTGGGCTACCAAGTGAGTTCCAGGAAAGGCGCAAAGCTACACAGAGAAACCCTGCCTCAAAAACAAAAAAAAAAAAAAAAAAAAAAAAAAAAATGGATTCTGATACTTCTTTCTAGCAGAAAGTTAGATAGAATGAAAATCAGTTCAAAATAAAAGGATAGAAAGTAACATAAAAGTAAGTTTTGCTCTACTGTCTTTTTGGCTGGGAAAGCCAATTTATTGCAAGCAGTTCCCTCCACAGAGAAGTCAGAGAGTTGACCAAATATGAATTGCTTCCCACAGAATTTATAGTTATCAAAAATTCCAATCTCACTTTCCAGTACAAGTTACTGTGATAAGGAAGGTTCGGAGGTATTTCTCTGTAACAAAAGAGATAGTGACCTCACATATTCGGAAAACTCTGCTTCCTTTATTGATGTCAGCATACACTGGTTAAACACATAGTTTGTGCTAGACTTACTAGGAAACAGGAAAATGAAATCTAGTTCTGTATTTATTTCTAAACACATTTTACTTTCTCAGAATAAAACTTGGAAAACTTGAAAGATCTAATACACAGGGAGAGGGAGAGGGAGACAGAGAGACTAAGAGACAGACAGAGAGACAAGAGAAAGAGTCACACACAGACATGCAGATATACATATACATAGGCACATACAATATACACACAAATGCAACTCTGTTAATTTCTCCTAAATTCTGTCAAAAAAAAGGAGGTCCACGTGGAATATTCTTATTTTGGGACCTCTTTCTGGGAACTAGACACAGGCTTTAGATGTACACTTGAAGTACTTGAACACTTTCAACCTGAAGCAGTCACTAAATGAACAGTAAAATCATAAAACCTCAGTGGAGAAATTTGAGTGTTACCTAAAAACTATGTATTTAATAAAATTAGAAGATGTGCCTTAGCCAGCACTAAGGATATTTAAAACCCCTAGGACCAAGTAGCTATAACAAAATACATCCATTAGCTACTAGTTAATCAAATGAAAGTAGACTTTGTTGCTGGAAGGCTGGAATCCTTGTCCATGATCATCTGTACTGATTTAGCACATTTCATTAGTTCTTCCAGAGAAGAAAGGATCACAGTTTCTTGACAGAGATCAAGTGTGTAGTCATGACAGATATGTGTGGTGGGGAATAAAGCCTTGCCCAGCCTCTCCTTTCTACAGACCAGGTTGTCTTGCCTCAAAGATTTGAAATAGATTCCCAGCATGCACATGTTCTCCATCTGCTGATTCTGAGTGTGTCCCTACATCTTCCATAAGATTCCTTCTTATTTTTGCCATCATCCTGTTAGTAATGACACTGAGTTCCTTCCTTCTCCCACAGTGACTCGGATGCTGGATGGATCAAGTTTTGGATTGAAATTTGTCTTAACTGAAAGGGTTAAAACAAAGAACAGAGATGTCAAGGGAAGTTTCAACATCAGACTTTACCACAGCATCTGGTTCATTTCCATCAAAGAAATGTTTGGTTGGTAACAGGCTTCTGCTAGGCCCTGCTCTTGCTTGTTTCTCCATTTTCTCTTGTGATTCCTATCTCTTGCCTCTTTTCCATCCTATTCAAGTGTCCTATTATTTCCTTTGTATGACTTTTCATGAGAAAACATAACACAAACATCTATTCACACTGATAAGACCTAAGAAACAACCCCAACTGAATTTAGTGTGGTTAAACAATTCATTTGGGGGGCTACTTACAAGAGTGTGGGTGACCCAAGAGCACATGCACCACTGAAGAGTCCTCCCACATATGAATTGGCTCAGAAGAGGTACATCCTCAAAACTCTCTGCACAAGCTGAAAGCAGTTTCACAGAAAACAGTTTGCTCTTCCTCAGCAAGTCTGAGTTCTCAGGGAATACTGCTATATAACCTCATGAATCTTCTACAATGTTCAATGCTGAACCTTGTAAGTTTGGTTAGCTTCCTGAGTTGTTGGAGTGTCCCACCATCCTCTAGGACAGCATTTCTCATTTCTAAGGAAATAATATAACAAAATAAACAATACAGAAATAAAAATAAACTGCAC